TTTTTGGGGGGGGGGGGGGGTGTATTACATAAGATGATGTGTAAGCTGATTTTTAGGAAATTGTTTCCCTTTTCGGGCTGCTAATCTTTCCGCCTACCATGTAACAGCATTTTATTCAGCTTTTAATGCACTAAAACGGGTTCAGGGATTGTATTTGCAGCACTGCAGAATCACACTGCAATAAGATACAAACAAGAATCTGCCACAGACCCAGCTTTGAGTCCACGCCCAGTCACTGGCAAACACTTCTTCAGAGAGACTTTTATGTAGGTGTCTGCCACTGTCTCTGCACAGGTAAAGGAGGTTTGAAAGCACGGAAACTGATTGATTCATTAAAAATCTTTATTATTAAAGTATCTTCTCAAACCAGAACCATTCGATAGAAGGAATCAGATGAGAAGACAGCAGACATTTGGGCTGATGTTTTCTGTGGGCTGTGAAGGCTTGAGGAAGGCCTCTCCTCCGTTCAAGTTTTAAGCTGTGTGAGCTTGCTGTGGGGAAAGTGACAGATGAAACGAATCCCAGGTGATGGTTCCGGGACCGCTTTGAGCCCCCGCAAAGTTTTAAAGGTCACAGAAATGTGTTCATGTTTTATCCTGTAAAAACAGTTAATATTGAGTTTTGAGCTCCTCTTGAGTGAGTTTGAGCCAAACAACTCATCTCCTCTCTATTAAAAGGTTGCATCACAGTTTAATTTATTAAACTCATTATTTTCAGAGGCCTTCGTGATCTGTACATTAATTGTGATTGGAAGCTCAGGGAACAAATTAAAGTCGGATAATTATATTGTTGACACTGTTGTTGTTGCTGTTCCTATAGTTTCAAATGTGCAGTTTCAACCATTTATTCACATTTTGTTACAAGAAAATGCAAAATATGAATTCATACATTTGGTGGAATTGTCTAAAAGCTGAGAATAGAAAGCAATTTAAATTCTCTTTAAATCTGATGTAACATTGTCAACACCTCCTTTCATAATTACACAATTGTTTAGTCGTAATCCTCCCAGGTTGCAGTCTTAGTTGCTACTGAGTCATGGGATGTTCAGAGCAGCTACAGTTTCAGAGACACTTGAACACACTGGGTATGTTTTCATGCACTCGTTACCCAGTGATTGTCTGTTTTTGTGCAGCAACAAAAACCATTTTCTAATCAGTAATAATGTAAGTAATAATAGTACAAGTGCACTGTCTCGCTGTCAGTTTTGCCTTTTTAAATGAGGCTTTCTGGAACCCAGGTGTCGACCAAGAACCTGTATCCAAGTTAATCCTGATGCTCTGAGATTGACTGCGGTCCAACTATGGTACACTTCATGTGCAAGACACGATTCTTACATTGTTAGTTGCAAAAACTCACTGATGCATGAGAAGAGTCATTGTGAAGCCAAACTTGATGCCACGCAATGTTTTCTGCAACATTAGTGGATGAGAAGCGTTTTATGTGTGGTCACTCCATCAGTTGTTGCTCAAAGACCAGCCAGGACCAGGTAATTGTAGTGCATGTCACCACTTTCTCCCATGTCCTACCTTCACCTGATTTCTCACAGTAACAAGTAAGTTTCTTGTGTGTATGTAAACATAGTCAAAAGTAAGTAGAACTATTTGGTCAAGTGGGACAGTGCAGTCGGCACCTTAGCAGCACCGTGCAGCATATTAATGAGTCGGCCCCATGTAGGGATGAGTTTGTCTTCACTAATAAGCAACTGTCTGGAACCCCCTTTACTTTCACTGCTAATGAGCTCAATGCCACTGACGAACAGTAAGGGAATCGGAAGCGTTCACTGCAGAGCTGTGAAACATTTTCAGTCCAGTGAGTCGGTCTGACGGCGGGCTGAGCTGCAGCCTCATTAAAACATTACATCTACATTTTCAGACATTTAGCTGACGCCGTTACCTCGAGGCTCATTATGAACGTTAAAGTAGAGAGAATGTGAGCTCACGTTAAACTGAGATTGTATGACAAGAGCTTTGTCACAGCACATATTTGACTTGTCAAACACAGGTAATGTTAATAAAGACTGTGTTCTTTAGACTGTGGTATTTATGCAGGCTGACTCACTGGCATGGTGACATTCCTAACTGGATTGGACTCACGTTTATTGTGAGCAATTCCTGTACAGTAACTCCAAAGATATGTTTGAGGTAGTTTATAAACTGTGGCTCCGCAGGTCGAGTGAGTCATCCACTCATCAGAAGGTTGGTGGTTCGAGCCCCGGCTCCTCCCGCTGCAACGTGTCCTTGAGCTCCGAATGCTGTGTATGAATGTGTATGGATGAATTAGTTTCTGTTAGTGATGCCCTCTGCCATCAGTGTGTGAATGTGAATGTGGTATGTAATGTAAAGTCGAAAAAAGAGACTGTTGATGTCAGTCTCAATAATCCAGTATCGACTGTATACTGCCTTCAAAAGTAGTTTGAGTTAACACTATAATACTGAAGTAAAATAGTGAGATAAGAAACGACCTACTAGAAATAGAAATATACTCCTCGCCACAGTCCCTCTCATTCTATGGGGACACTGTATATTTGTTTAACTCTCAGCTGCTCCCAATAACCGG